CTTTGAACTCCAGTGAAGCCTTTCTCTGCTCTAGTGGTAGGAATCCTCCCTGAATGCTCTCTTCCACTCTCCCTTGGTTATTCTCTCAAGAGGCACGTAGATCAAATGACGAAAAGATTGGGTGGCAGTCTAATTTGGACTATTTATACAAAAGACAATAAAAACCGCCCAAAAACTGCAAGTTATTCAATTCTGTACGCAGTGGATCGTCCCGTACGATCGTGGATCGTCCTGGACGATTTTACTTAAACGATCTGAAATGACCCTATTTGAATATGTGTACGAAATGTCTTCGTACAGCTGATCGTCCTGTACGAACTAGGTTCGTCCAGTACGAACGGTATTTACAGGTCGTTTCTAGAAACTGCTGAAAACTTCCTAAGTCGGTTAATCGTTTGGACGAAAATTTATTCGTTTTGGACAAATTTTTACAAAAGGACCGATCGTCCTGGATGATTCTTTACTTCGTCTGGATGAAAATTTTCTAGAGGACCAATCGCCACGAACGATAATTTAATTTCGTCAGGACGAAAATTTTCCAGAGACCCGATCGTCCTGGACGATTTTTTAATTTCGTCTGGACGAAAATATTTCCAGAGAACCAGTCGCCATGGACGATAATTTAATTTCGTCTGGACGAAAATTTTTTAGAGAGTCAAATCGTCTTGGACGATAATTTATTTCGTCCTAGACAATAGGACTTAGAAAAAATTTTCCGAGCAAGTTCCTATTCGTTCCATATGCTCTATGGGAGATAACTGTCTGATCGTCCAGTACGAAACGTATATCGTCCTGTACGATCAATATAAATTTTATATGATCTCCTCAATGTGTGTGTGTGTGTGTTTTTTATCACTCAAGTTACAATCACTCCCTTTCAATTTTTTATTTCAAAAGAAAAGTAAGCTTCAAATATTACAGAGTATCTCATGCTGAATTCAATTTGAAGTCATCGTAATCTGGAGTTCGTTTTCCCTGAATGTTAGTACACACAAGAGCAAATACAATTCTTCTAAAAATGTTAGGATGAACTACACATTTGAACAATAATGTTTGGAATCATCAAAACTTCATAAGTTGC